CCGCTGCCCCTCCCGGTGAGCCCGCGGTGCTCCCGCTGCCCCTCCCGGTGAGCCCGCGGTGCTCCCGCTGCCCCTCCCGGTGTGTCCGCGGTGCTCCCGCTGCCCCTCCGGTGAGCCCGCGGTGCTCCCGCTGCCCCTCCGGTGAGCCCGCGGTGCTCCCGCTGCCCCTCCCGGTGAGCCCGCGGTGCTCCCACTGCCCCTCCGGTGAGCCCGCGGTGCTCCCGCTGCCCCTCCGGTGAGCCCGCGGTGCTCCCGCTGCCCCTCCCGGTGAGCCCGCGGTGCTCCCGCTGCCCCTCCGGTGAGCCCGCGGTGCTCCCGCTGCCCCTCCGGTGAGCCCGCGGTGCTCCCGCTGCCCCTCCGGTGAGCTCGCGGTGCTCCCGCTGCCCCTCCGGTGAGCCCGCAGTGCTCCCGCTGCCCCTGCCCATGAGCCTGCGGTGCTCCCGCTGCCCCTCCGGTGAGCCCGCGGTGCTCCCACAGCCCCTCCGGTGAGCCCGCGGTGCTCCCGCTGCCCCTCCGGTGAGCCCGCGGTGCTCCCGCTACCCCTCCGGTGAGCCCGCGGTGCTCCCGCTGCCCCTCCGGTGAGCCCGCGGTGCTCCCGCTGCCCCTCCGGTGAGCCCGCGGTGCTCCCGCTGCCCCTCCGGTGTGCCCGCGGTGCTCCCACAGCCCCTCCGGTGAGCCCGCGGTGCTCCCGCTGCCCCTCCGGTGTGTCCGCGGTGCTCCCGCAGCCCCTGCCCATGAGCCTGCGGTGCTCCCGCTGCCCCTGCCCATGAGCCTGCGGTGCTCCCGCTGCCCCTCCGGTGTGTCCACGGTGCTCCCGCTGCCCCTCCGGTGAGCCCGCGGTGCTCCCGCTGCCCCTGCCGGTGAGCCCGAGGTGCTCCCGCAGATCGAATTAGGGTCCTGGGCCTGTGAGTCCCTCCCTGGAGCCGAGCCGAGCCCGCGGCTCTGACGAGCTGTCCCCGCAGGCCGCCGCCAGGGGGGCGCGTGAACAAAGCAAGGCCAATGCCCACTACGGAAGGTGCCCTGTCAGCGCTCCAGAACCCCACGCCAGGGCGGCCTGGATCACGTGCTTGTGTGTGTGCAGTTACGTGTGCCAGCGCCACCTCAGCCGCCTGCCCCGAGGGGCACACACCCAGTGGCTCAGTGGTCAGCTCCGGGAAGGGCTGGGATGGAGGATCGAGGTGGCTGGAGCGTCGGAGGAGTTTCACTTTCCTTGGTTTGTTTGTACCGCAATAGACACCCGCCTCACCTGCGCAGATACGTTAAAAATGCACACTGCCTGGCAGCGGGGCCCAGGGGTTGAGCGTCGATCTATGAACCAGGCGGTCACGGTTCGGTTCCCAGTCAGGGCACAGGCCCGGGTTGTGGACTCGATCCCCAGCAGGGGGCGTGCAGGAGGCAGCCGATGGGTGATTCCCTCTCATCACTGGCGTTTCCATCTCTCTCCCCCCTCCCTTCCTCTCTGAAGTCAATACAAATACATTTTAAAAAATACAGACTAATGCCGAGACTGGTTTGGCTCAGTGGATAGAGCGTTGGCCTGTGGACTTAAAGGTCCCAGGTTTGATCCCAGTCAAGGGCATGGACCGTAGTTGCGGGCACATCCCCAGTGGGAGGTGTGCAGGAGGCAGCTGATCGATGTCTCTCTCTCATCGATGTTTCTAACTCTCTATCCCTCTCCTTTCTTCTCTGTAAAAAATCAATAAAATATATATTTTTTAAAAATACAGACTAACACCCAGTGCAGAGGGCGGGCCCGACCCAGGCTCGGTCAAGGCCGGAGGCTGTGGTTAGGGTGGCAGGTCAGGGGGCTGGGAAGGAAGGTGTCTGGGCGCCTCCTGCCAGGCCCCCAGCTCCCGGAGTCTGGACTGGGGACTGCGGAGGCCCCAGGGGCGGACAAGGGACATTGCTGGCACCCGGAGGACGGAGACGCCCCCCAGCCCCTCCCGGCTGAGCGCTCCGCCAAGAGACTGACTGAAGGAGGTAAAATCCAGTCCGGAACCCAGGGCACTCAGAGCACAGCGGGCCTGTCCGAGCGAAGGCAGAAAAGGGCACGTTTGCCTGTAACTTGGTTTCGGGGCCGTGAGGGTTGTGCCCGGCGGAGCACCCCGCCCCTTGCCAAGGCCCCGCGATGAGAAGGTGGGGTTCCCTGGGCACCCGCATGTGTTCCCATGGAAATTCTGTTTTGCAGAATCCTCTGGAAATGTTGCCTGGGAGGGGCCGCGCGCACTTCCCACGCCCGCCCTGCAGTTTGCTTTCCAGGGAGGCCTCTCCGGCAGGTGCAGGGGGAGCGGGGGGGGGGGGGGGGGGGATCGGGGGCTGCGAGCCCCGGGCAGGGCCCCCGGGGTCAGAGGTACCAGAACTGCTTCAGACCGAGGCTCTAGGAGGGTGGCGGTGTGACCTAGGAGCAGAGGCGGGGAGTGCCGGGAGCACAGGGGCGGGCCCGCAGGAGAGCATCCCAAGCCCCCTCACCGGGGCCGGGCGGGCGGGCGGGCAGGGCTGCCCAGGGGCGGGCAGGGGCGGGCGGGCAGGGGCAGCAGCGCCAGAGGCCTGGCCCTCAGGGCTGCCCGGGGCTTCTCCTGCAGTTCCAGGCCCAGGCCGCCCCGGGGTGGCTGCCACCACCTCAGGGTCCAGGCTGCCTGGCCTGGGCCTCACTGCTCCCCATCAGGCTCCCTTCCTGGGGCCTCTCTCCACCATTCTCCTCCTCTAGTCCCTCCTGAGAGCCCCCCCCCCCCGCCCCATACACACAGAGCCTGGGGCCCCGGCCCCGAGGAGGCCGGACCCTCCCCGCTGCCTCCTGCAGGGGCTTTTCCTGAAGGATTGTGGGGAAGGGAAGGCACTCAAGGCCACCCGTTCCTCCCCCTCCCCCCCGCTGAGCCTGTGCGAGCAGGGCTCCCCATCTGCCCCCTCTGAGCATCGCTGAGAGGCCCTGACTGTCACTGAGACCCAGCTCAAGTGGACATGGCTGCTGAGGCGGAACTGGGGGCTCCCAGCCACCCTGCCCCAAATGACCGTCAAGGTGTCAAGGTGGTCCCTCTCTCCTCTCCCCGCTTCAGTCACACCCAGGCTCTCTGCCCCCGCCCCCCTTTCTGCCACCTGCAGCCACTGGGTCATCTGCCACCCCTCACCCCTGCCCTGCACCAGCTCCATGGGCTCTCAGCCTGGGGGGGAGGGGGGAGGGGGGTGCTCAGTCTTCTTTGCTCCACACCTGGAGTCCCAGAACTCTTCCCCCGACACCCATACACACACCCTCGCCCGTGTCAAAGCCCCACTTCACCCTGACACCCCCCTCCCCGCCTCTGTCCTGCTCAGCTGCTGGCAATGCCTGCTCCCCAGCGGTGCCTGGCTGGTCCCCGAGGGCCCCGAAGCCTCGGGGAGAGTGGAGTTCTGTCCCAGGCGAGGGGGGAGCGGAGGAAGGGGGGAGCACAAGGCGGGACAGGACCCACGTGGAGGAGAGTGTGGGGCAGGGCAGCCTGCTGGGGCCTGCAGCTCGGTGTGGGGTAACCCTGCCAGGCTCCCCTCTGCCCTCGGAGCCACTGCTGAAGGCTGGTTTCCAGCCAGAGGGCCTGGGCCCGGGGCTGAGGACAAGGGACCAGGCCCAGGGAGCGGCCTCCTGGTCTGGGGAGGCTCACTGCACCCTGAGCAGCAGGCTCCCCTCGGCCCATGCCGGACGGGCCTGCCCAGGGCAGCTGCAGCCTCGGGGCCCAGAGGCCTCTCCATCAGCCTTCCCCGGGCAGAGCCCTGGTTGCTGTGCGTCGCTGCGGGGCCAATGACTGGAAGGTGAGGACCCAGGAAGGCTGGCCACCTCCACCCCAGGATCCGGCCCCCAGGGTCCGGCCCCCACCCGCCCTACACATTAAGGTTTGTGTGTGAGGGGGCAGACGGGGGTGGGAGGGGGGACTGGCTTATCCATTTTACAAATGAGAAAACGATGGGAAGCAGAGGGACAGCCCAACAGCCTGGGCGATCTGACCCTTAGCTCCTGACTTCCTGCGAAATGGGCTTCCACTCATAACGAGGGGCCATGTGCACACGGGGCCTGAGCTTCTGCAACGCGAAGGGACCCCTTCCCCCAGCAGGGAGGCCCCAGGCAGCCAACCATGGCGCTGGACCAGGCTGGAGAGGAGGCGGGAGGGAGGGCTGTCCTCCATCCGGGACCCTGGCCGGTATGATGCAGATAAGACAGAGGAGGGGGGTGGGGTCAGGACAGCCAGACAAAGGGGCTTTGGGGACCAGGCCGGAGGGTGGAGAAGGCTTGAGGAGCAGGGGGTGGGGAACAGGTGGCACCAGGCGGGGTGCAAAGGGCCAGGCGGAGGGGAGACAGCCTTGGGGTCCTTGTTGGGGGGCAGAGAGATAGCCTTGGGGTCCTTGTTGGGGGGCAGAGAGCTTTAGGTTGTTCAGCTCCAGCTTCGCCAGCACCTCCCCCTTTCCTCCCCCGTTCCCGCCCCCCCTGCTCAGGACTCCTCACCGGAGCCCAGACCTCCCTGCTCCCGTCCCAGGCACTGAGCACCTGCTCAGCCTCCAGCTCTGTCCTCAAGGCCAGCCGGGGTCACCTTGTGCCTCTGGCCTAGGTGGATGGGGCAGCGAGGGGTAGTCACCGTTGCTCCTTTATTTCCCCTCCTGTGCCCAGCACCGACACGGGTCCCTCACCGGCTCCCTGCTGAGTCTCAGGGGGCCTTGTGGGCCATGGTACCGCCTGGCGCCAAGAGAGCCCCGAGGCCGAGGAGGATCTGGAATGGGGGGCCCACGGGAGCCCTTGGGCACTGAGGAGGGGCCACCGGGCAGAGGGCACGACGTGGACAAAGGCCTGGAGGTGAGAAACACGCGGTGGGTGCCCTGGGGTGGGATGTGCGGTGGGTGCCCCAGGTGGGTGCAGGCCGAGGCAGGAAGGCCTGGAATGTGGGGGTGAGTGCCCGGCGCCCCTGAGGCCTCACTCTTGGTCCCGATCGAGTCCTCTGGAGGGAGGGGCGGCCCCAGAGCCGCTGATCCGCCCGGAGCTGTCCCTAGAGGTTCTCATAGACCAGGTTAAACTCGCTCTCACTCTGACATCGATGCGCATTCTCCTGGGGAGGAAATGAAAAGTAACGGGAGGGGAAGAAACAGACTCACACCAACCTGGTTCCGTCAGAGGAGCAAACTGTGGCCCCTGCGTGGCTGTGACAGAAACGCCTGCCCTGTCCCAGGCCCTCTTCGCCAGCCCCTCCCCCTCACTCCCACCCTGCTTTCCTCGCCAGCCCCTCCCCCTCACTCCCACCCTGCTCTGCCCTCCCGTCCCTCCCCCACCCCACTCTCGCTGGCTCAGGGCCTCCCCGCACGCTCTTCCCTCTGTCTGGGCTGATCCTTGGACACCACCTGTCCCCCAAACCTCCTACTCACCCTGCAGGGCTTGCTCAGCATCCCCAAGACCCCTCCCAGCCCGGTCTGTCCCCCCTGAGCCCCCCTTTCAGACAGGCCATCATGTCTCTGTGTGTCTGTTGGGCCAGGGACCCTATTCTTTCAGCCCCGAGGCTCCTGGAGGGCAGGGGCCTGTCTCAGTGTCCTGGGCAGCACCCCAAGGCCTGGCCCAGGGTGGGCACCGCCTGGCATGGCCCAGGCATCTTTGGGGGTCAGGCTTGGATAGGAAGAGCTTTGAGATTCACTGAACAGCACCAGCCTGGGCCCCTGGGCCAGGGAGACCGAGCACCAGCCCCTCTCACTCCCTGATGGCTCTTCCGAGGCGCCCACGGCCTACCCCCCGCCCGTGGCTCCTGTCCCCGCCCAACAGCCCCTCCTGCTGCAGGGGGTCCAAGTCTCTGTGGTGGCCGTTACTTCACTGGGAACTCCTTTGAATTGAGAGGCGCTCGGTTTTGTAGCGAGCGTCACTCACCCACTTTGCAGATGAGCACACTGAGGTGTGGAAGAGAATCGGGACTAAGTGAAACGCCTTGGCCCCAGCATGCCAATTAGGGGGCCCTGCCCAGGCCAGCCAGGCCAGGCCAGGCCAGGCGGGCACCAGCTCAGACTCCGGCCCCTCACTTCAGCCAGCCTCCGCCTGGGGGCAGCAAGAGGACTACACCATACGCCTGACTGGCCAGCGCAGGCACGCCCCCGTGCCCAGTGGAGCCACCATGGCGCACATGGCGCTGGCTGGGCCCCACTGCAGCACCCGGCCCCCGCACATCTGTGGGTGAGTGCTGTCCGGCTCCTCTGCACACAGGCAGGAGCCGCGGGCACAGAGGGCAGCCTCGGGCACAGAGGGCAGCCTCGGGCAGAGCTGCCCGCTGGTCGGGGGGGGGGGGGTAGGATTCCAACCTCCCATGCTCTTGACGCCAGGCCAGCTGCCTGGGGGAGGGCTCACCGTGGTCCCCTTCCCCCCACGTCACTCGGGGGGGGCGGGGAGGGGCAGACGGAGTCGGAGCCGGCTGGCTGCCCCTGCTTACCTGGGAGAGGAAGGACCTCCTGGCGGGCGGGCTGCCGGCCTCGCTCTGCATGCAGGCGTAGATCCCCGTGTCCTGGCGCTGCAGGGCCTGCAGGACGCGTGAGGGTCAGAGAGACTGGGACTGCGGGGCAGGGCCTGGCCCGGCAGCTGCGAGAGCTCAGAGGACGGGCAGACCCTTTGGGCCCTAGTCTGCAAGCGAATGCCTGCCTCGCCCTCCATGCCATGCCTGGTCACACCGCCACCCTGTGCACCTGCAGTCCCTCTCTGCACCCCTTCCCTGCTTGCACAGGGGACCCCCCTCTGCCCCTCCCCCTGCCACCTCCCTCACACCACCTCCAGGCTCCAGCCAGCGGACTGCAGACACCCGTGGCCACAGCGGCATGATGCCCTCCTGCCAGCCGCCCTTACTCCCCTGGCCCCCACCCCCACCCCACCCCCACAGCACCCAGACCTCCGTAACGCCACCCCAGCCGCACGCACAGACGACCTGGCACCCTTTGGGGCCCCACTCCTCTCTCATCCAGCTGAACCCGGTTAGGCTCTGGGTCTCGGAACCGATGGCCGTGCGGGGCACACTCGGAGACAGCACCAACCGATGCCACATGTGTTTGGGACTCCACTCACTCTGGCCCGGCTAGGAGCAGCCTGCGCGGGGCCCTCAGGATGGGCTGAGGGAACCAGGGCTTTGAAATCAAACAAGACCCGTTCAACTCTCAGCTCTGACACCTGCCAGCCAGCGGCAACCCCTGAGCCTCTCTGTGCCTCTGTTTTCTCATCTGTAGAATGGGCATAATCGCATCTATCTTGCAGGCTCAATGCATGACTAAATGAGATGTTGTGTATGATGGGCCCCGCACAGAGTCTGGAAAACAGTAGGTGCTTAATAACTATTGAATCGTCATCAGTTGAATGAGCCTCAAAGGAGGCCTGACACCTCCCTCCCTGCTCTGCGGTCACAGCCTGGACCCTGCCTGGGCCCGGGCAGAGCCACCCACAGCCTCGGCAAGAGGCAGGAACCTTTCCTTCCCACGTGCACATGTCACAGGGATGCCGGCTGGTTGCCAAGGAGGTGGTTTCCCTGGCAACAGGCAAGCAGGGGTTGCTGAGGCAGCTGAGAGACAGGTGGTGCTCTGAGGCGAGAGAGGGGGAGACGCAGAGGCGAGGAGGAGGCACCGAGAGGCGCTGGGGCATGAAAGCCGCGTAATAAACCACCGGGCTCTGGAGAACTTCATGTCATGGCGTCACTCAGCGATGGCAAGGTGGACCTGGGGACCAGTTCCAGGGCCTCAGAGCCAGAGAGAGGCGGGTCTTAGGAGCGGGGCCAGCTCAGACTCCAGTCCCGACTTCAGGCAGCAGTGCCTGGGGACAGCTGGAGGCCGGACACCCTCCACCTGACGGCAGTGTGGGCGCTGCCCTGTGCCCAGGGGGAGCTATGACTGGTACTGCCAGGGCTGCCCTGTGCCCAGGGGGAGCTGTGCTGGCCAGTGTGGGCGCTGCCCTGTGCCCAGGGGGAGCTGTGCTGGCCAGTGTGGGCGCTGCCCTGTGCCCAGGGGGAGCTATGACTGGTACTGCCAGGGCTGCCCCAGGAGAAGCCAAGGCCTGCGCTTCCCTGTGAGGGAATGGTGGCTGTGCCTCGTGGCCCTGAGTCTCCCCCTCTGTCCACCCAGGCCTGGACCTCCAGGATGCACTGCCCCTCCACGCTGGCCACACTGGCCACGATGGCCACAGAGAGAAGGGGGAGAGGGCTCCTTGCTGACAGCCAGGCAGTGGGGGATCTGGGGTCCTCAGTGGCTCCCCGCTCCCGCGTGTCCAGCTCACATGGGGCGCGGAAGCCCAAGGCTGTCGCAGGTCACAGCCCCTCAGTGTGGAGCAGGATGGGGACGCGGGCCTCCGCTCCTCGTGCTCCTGCGGCCAGAGGCTTTCCCAGCCAGCGAGAGCTCCCTGCCCAGGGCCCCGCGGGCCTCTGCCCACCGTGGCAGGCCGCTGTGCTGGCAGGAGCCGCTGGGGCGGAGGGCAGGGGGGCTGCAGGCCGGCAGCAGCTGGCAGGGAAGCGCTGACAGGTCCTGGCCTGCTGCTTCCTTCACCAGTGTGACCTGCATCACCGCTGGGAAGTGCCGGCAGCACTTTAAAAGGAGCCAGGAAAGGCCTCCTGGCAAAGGGGCGTCTGAGCAGGGGCTGGGGGTGAGGGAGTGGCCACGTGGAGCAGAGGCACCGCCAACACCGAGGCCCGTGGGGGGGGGGGGTGCCTGGTGTGTGGGAACCGCAAGAAGGCCAGTGTGACGGGAGGGAGAGAAGAAGGGCAGGAGGGAGGGAGGGAGGGAGGGAGGAAGAGGCAGGAGGGAGGGAGGAGGAGGCAGGAGGGGTGGGAACGAAACTCTCGGGGCCACGCAGGGCTGTGCCACTGACTGAGAGACAAGCCCCTTGGAGAGGTGGCCCCTGAGGACGCTTCCCCGCCTCCAGCTCCCAGGTGCTGGTCCCACCCGTCGCCACGCGGAGCCACAGCCCAGGGGCCGCTCTGGCCGGTGCTCACAGTAGGGCCGCCTGCAGCCCCGGCCTGGGAGACACAGGCCCCTGCCCCTCGGGCTTCCCGTGGCCTGGCTCACCCCAGGGCTTCGTGCTTCTCCGAGGACCCCCACTCCCCTGGGCCTGAGCAGAGCAGGCGCCGTCTGTCTAAGGGCCCAGCCCTCCGCTGCAGTGGGTGCGGCAGCAGGGACCCTGACGGGCGGGGGTGGAAACCCAGGGTAAGGCTCCCGCGCGAGCAGGCAGCCGGAGGGCGGCTGGGCCGGGTTCCAGATGTGCTCAGACAGATGTGCTGACGGATCAGACGTGAGCGGGAAAGCAAGCACCGTGTGGAAGGTCTCAGAACTGAGAGGCGGAATGTGATCACCCAGGGAGGGGAGTGAAGGCCAGGACGGCACCCCTTACAGGTCAGGGTCCCAGTGGGAGGAGCTGGGAGGAGCTGGGAGGGCTAGTGAAGGAGGCTGAGGAGATGTGGCAATGAGGGGGGTATGGGGAGGGGCAATTAGGAGAGAGTGGAATGTTCCAGAAGCAAGTGAAGGAAGTGTGTCGGGGAGGAGGGAGAACTCAGTGGTGGGTGCTCCTGGGTGGACAGGGAAGGTGAGGACCAGGAACTGGCCACTGGATTTCACTACACGGAGGTCAGTGGTGACCTTGAGAAGGAAGGTTTTGGGGAAGAGGGGGGGGAAGGAGAGGAGACACTGATTGTGGGGAGTCTGACAGCTCCAGGCGTCTCAGAGGAAGCGGGGTGCCGGAGAGGGGTGTGGGCTCCAGGTGAGGAGTTTACGATGGAAGGAGGCACAGCTGCCCACGTGATTCATATCAGTAGCCCTGCCTCACAGAGCATGGCGCGGGGAGTCAGCTGGGTAAGGAGCGGAGCTCAGAGCAAAGCGAGTGGGCTTTGAGCCCGTCTGTCTGGCCCACTCCACGCCCGTGCTGCTTAATAGGGAAGTTGGTTCTAGAGCTTTCTTTCCGTCTTAGTACATCATGAGCATCTCCCCACATGAATAAACAGCAAAAATGGACACAATTAAAAGGAGAAGTACACACATCTACAATCATATGGGCAGATTTTAACTCACTTCTCTTAACACCCATTAGACTAAGGAAAAATATATGTACTATTTTAACAACATCAACCTAATGTAATAAAATGCGTAGCCAGGTACAAGGCAAGTTCTTTTCAAGTTCGCACGGCACACGGGCTGACCCGTGAAGCAAGTCTCAGAAGACCTCAGAGGATTGAAACCACACAGAATCCGCTCTCTGATCACAGCGGAATTGGGGAGAAATGTAAAGGACACACAGAATAATAACTAGAAAATAATTAAACATTTGAAAATTAAGCAAACCACATTGAAATCGCCCATGGGGCAAGGAGGAAGTCCCCATGGACAGTTTAAACGGAAAGATAATAAAAATATATCAGAACTGCGGGATATAGGCCTTGGTGAGAGCATCCTCCTGATACACCAAGGGTGCAGGACTAATCCCCAGGCAGGGCATAGACAAGAAACAACCAATGAATGTATAAGTAAGTAGAACAACAAATCTCTCTCTCAAAATAAATAAATAAAATATTAAATTTAAAAAACTTGTGGGATACAGCTAAAGCCACACATACAGGGGAGTCATAGTGTTAAGTACATATATTAGAAAAGAATAAAGGTTGAAAATCAATAATCTATCCACAGGGAGGAATATACAAAACTCCTTCCCCAGAGTTAGGGAACAAGACAAGGATGCCTGAGGTCAACACTCCTGTTCACCGTCATGCCAGGGGTCTTAGCACCCCCATAACAAGAAAAACAACGCAAAGGGATGAGGTCAGAAAGGAAGAAATGGAACTTGAACTTTCGTAGATGGCATGGCTGGGCTCATAGATAATCCATGGAATCCACACAGAAACCATTAGAATTCAGGAGTGGATTCAGCAAGGTCACCCTCTGCACAAAGTCAATACACAAAAACCAATCCTGTGTCTACATGCCAGCAGTAGACAATTAGAAAATAAAATGAAAATGAGGATAACACCTGTATCCTAAAACCCCCACTGTGAGAATTACTGAGCTAACGGGTGGGAGTTCTGACTCGGTGCCTGGCACACAGTAGGTACTCAACAAATGGCTCCTGACATGATCATCCCTGTGATTAATGTCATTCGTATCTGCCCAGGTCCAGTCCCAGCCGGTACGGACTGGCCAGCAAGCCGTGGCCTCCCTCTACACCTTCCAACCTCTCCACGCCACTGCACCAGCTCCCGCCCCGCCGCCCCACGCTCCAGCGGGGCTGCCCGAGCCTCCGGGACCTCAACACAGGCGAGAACGGCGTTCCCTGCAAAGGGGGGTCTCTTTCACCGAAAATGACCTTGGAGAAGAATATTATTCACGTGGGAAGATGTTCACGAGATGGTGTAACATGGGGGGGAAAAGCTGTATTACTCCAATTAAAAAAAAAAGTATGTGTGAATGTACGTATGGGTCTCTGTATGTTTTGTTTTTCCAATGGACTAGAAGGTACAGGAGTCAATCTTACTAGTATTTATCCTGAAAGAAGACAGAATTAGGACGATGGCTATTTTCCTCCCTTGATATATATGAGAGAGATCGTGGGTGCGTGCGTGTGTGTGTGTGTGTGTGTGTGTGTGTGTGTATGTGTGTGTGTGTGTGTAGAGGGGGGGGAAGAGAGAGAGAGAGAGAGAGGGAGAGAGAGAGAGAGAGAGAGAGAGAGAGAGAGAGATGTTTTATTTAACAGCTGACTCCAGAAGGCCTCGTGGGAAAACCCGTCGTGAGCTGCTGGAGGGAGAGAGTGTCTGTGAAGTGTGGGGCCGAGTGGGGAGCTGGCGGAAACCCGGGGGGGGGGGGGGGGGCGCTGAAGACCCTGGGGCGCTGGCCTTGATCTGTCCTATTTGGAGCTGTCATCGCTGCCCCTGGGGACAGACCCTCTGCCTCGCCCCCGGCTGCCCCCCCGAGTGAGCAGGCATGTCCCAGTGCCCCCTGCGTGGGGGCCATGGCGGACCCATGTTTCCTGTGTGAGTCAGGCTGGCGGGGCCAGGAGCAGTGACAGCGAACTCAGCAGAACCCTAGCGCTGAGGCGCCCCGGAACACGCCCCGGCGCGGCGGGACCGCAGGGCTCGGCTCCCCCAGGCAGGGAGCTAAGATCTCAGCCGGGCGGGTGGACCCACGGCTGGAGGCCCCAGCCGCCCGGCCGCACTCACTCCTCACGCTCTGCAATGAGCACATGCCGCTGTGGAGCTGAGACAGAAACTGAGCAGGAACGTCTGTCGCCTTCCCGGCCGCCAGGCAGCCTGGCTGCGCCGCCCGGTGGGCGGGCCGGGCGGGCGGGCACACCCAGCGGGGCCTGTGGGCGAGCCTCTGCCTCCATCAGGGTGGAGAGATTCGTGATGGAGGAGCCACGGGACGTGGAAAAGCATCCCAGCCGTGTCTCTTACTCACGAGGATCTGAAACGATGTCTGTGTGTAGTGCTGGCGGGGAGGGGGCGGAAGCGTGTGAAGAACTGAAAGCCATTGATGTCACCTGGCCGGGGTGGCTCAGTGGTTGAGCACTG